GGTACAACCGAGACGAACTGGTCAGCAATGACGGACGGGATATTGACGTCAGTCACTGGAGAATAAGCAGACCCTGAGGAGGAACGAAACCGGGGAAAAACGGCATCACAGTAAACGGGCGGAAGTCACATTACCCATGCGTATTCAGAAACCAAGAATAGTCACCGCTGTTCGCCGTTGATTCACAGGGGTAATTAGCACTAGGAATATCACAAGCTGTGTAACGGTTCGTCGTGGACGGTTCACGGTGGGGCTGTTCGTTTCGCCATTCACTCAACAACTGGTTTTCAAACTGAACAATAGGCCACGTTATTCTGGCGAGAATTCGCCTATATTAGTGCTGCTTCCCCGGAACGGAATCACACGATGACAATGTCCTATGAAGTTGCCTTGGATATTTCAAAACTGAGATCAGCGAAATGATACGACTTTCAATTACTTTTCAGTGAACGAAGGTTTTGTTTGAAACTATTCTGAAGCAGGTCAGGAAATCTCAACAGAAGCTGAAGACAGAGAAGATATGAATCAAGTAAAATTCATGACCGCTTAGGAACCAAATAATTTGTTGGACGGGAAATCAATAAGCAGGATGTGTACGTTTTCAACGAAGTGGAACCCAAAGGAACTAGAAACCAGAAAAGTTAAGTTCCACTATTTGGAAATTTGCCAGGTCGTTGATTGCCATAGTGATGAATGGGGTGAGAGCCTTGAAAGTAGAAATGCAAAAAAGTTCAGGGCATTTGGAACAGGGGATAACGTAGTTGAATTTTTTTCGACCCCGATGTCTACAGCGGGTAAGAAGAATCAATCACGTTCGAGAATGAATAAGCAAAATACATGGTATCAAAGACTGTCGTCCAATATAACTTGACCTCGTGCCGTCTGGGAACCTCTCCCAAGAAAAAAACAATACACTTTCAAGCAGAATGACATACTTTGCAATATCGGCTTGTAAGCGGCAAGAAAAGGGGAATCGCGGTGATGGCTATGTTTAGTCCACCGATAAGGTTACGAAAAGTTTAACGACATTACAAGGCAGTCAATCTGGACAGCTGAGCAAATACTTTGAAGTACAATAGTTGTTACATCATCTTCAAATCTAGTCTTTCACAGTTAGCTAGAGAGCTGTACAACTGATTTTAGCTGGATCCAACTGATAAATCTAAATAAAGGCAAAGGATTCCACTTCGCTGAGATTTGTTTTGAAGTTGATCACCACTCCTAATTCGGGTTCAAGCTTAGACGTGAGCTGTTATTTATCCCGTCCATGTCAGCTGAACGGCTGGACTACTCGGGTGTAGTCCAATCGGGCTGACCAAGCCGGTCTTGAATTTTTTACTTTCTATTAAGTCTAGTGTGGTAAATATCTTTACATGGTCCACTGAACAGAGTTGTTGTCCAACCGAGTGCACAAAAGATCCAGCGAGTCATCTGAAAACAAAAGAAGACGTCTCCCTTGTTATCGCCTTAGTTTTTCCAAAGAACGGGATTTCCATTCGGGTGTTCTTTTGCCGGCCGCAAGTTGGTTGCTGTGTCAAATGACAGTTATCACCTACGGCTGGATCAGAATTGAAATTATTTCAAATATCTTCATGTTACTAACACTTCACAAGTAGCTCAAAGAAAAAAGCAATTTCACAAAATGAGTGGGCTTCCATCTCAGAGGTCCTCATTAGGGGAGCTGATCGACACGGGACCACGTGATGTGGTTCTTTATTGCCACTTTATTGCGTACCACCTTGATACAATAAGTTTATATATTATGGCAGTGTTTGTCCTCCATATACTGTCGTTAATATTTTTTTACTGTTCTTAAACTGCTTGTACCCGGACGCGTATGAACGGCAGGTTGACGTTGAAGAGTTCTAAGCGGTAGGTGCTTACGATGGTCTAAATGTGTTGGTTGGAACTCCCCAGGGAGCATTGGTATTTAGTGGAATCAACAAAGTATAAATGCGCCGATAAGAGTAAATGAGAAGTGCAACAGACCTGTCCCCATGAAAGTATACGTGAAACAATATGCGTTATCGAACAACATGAGTAGTCAGAGATCAAGTGAAACGCTAAGTAAAACAGACAAGCTACGGTCCGCCACTCCGTAAAGTGACTGAGTATCATGCTATTTTACTGTTATTGAGAAGCATCAAATCGGTTATGCGAACCGGAAGTCTGCGTTTAGAAACGGTTAATAGGACTCTCGAAGCTCATTGGACTTACCGGTGTAACGGTGATACTACTGATGGGGGAGGCATGTGAGTAGTATGGTTTCTTGTAAATTCACTTCCTGTCCCTTGAAAAGAGAGACAGATTGCGGTATTTGTGGAGTCACTTTGTAGCATTTGCTTGGGTTTGAGCAACAGTCAATGAGTATCCAGGAAAGTTCAGGTAGACGTGTTCAAGAGAAGATGGATGTTCAGTTTTTGTAAATGAGATGCATATGAGAGTTTTGCTTCCCTGTGCAATGGTCTGTAACTAGTCAGTTGGCATACAAAGTAGATGACACGTGAGCACTGGTTAATTTGGTGCAAAGGGCTTGAAGAATTTAGCCTGATATATTTTTGTTGGTGTGAGTCCCGATTCAAGTTTTCTGTTGATCCCGCCTTATCGGTTTGGTAAAGCACCACTTCGCAACAGGTACACCTGCCTCAAGGTTACACGGTTCTAACTATCTTTGCTGCAGAAATTGGAGCTCAAGGGGATGATTTTAAGCACGGACCAGGTCTCTGCCCCAAAACGAGTCGACCCCAGCAAGCACCAATCGCGCACACATGAACGCTACTGGTGGGTACAGTGCTCGTTAGAAAAAAGCTCCTTTCGACTGGTCAGGGGATAGAGACGTTCGATGTCACCTGTCTGAAGCCCCGCCGACTAATCGATTCCGATTTCTAGCAGGGCAGCTGTTCAAAACACTGACAGTCAAGACCGCCCAGCTCAAAAGTGCTTTAAGTCACCTGACAGTAGAAATAAGTGACGGAACATAGGTGTCATCCACCATGGTGTAACCTGATGAACACGATTGATTATCCACGCGATCTTTCCCAATGGTCTACAGCCTTCCGTTTAGGCCACTAAAGCGATTCTTTGGGACTGAAAGTGGTTTTTCTTAAAGCATCCAGCGCGCAACGCCGATGGTAATGGGAAGATTTTCAGAATTCCCGAAAAGTCATCTAACCGAATCGCATGAGAAATAGGGAACTCACGTACATCCACGTAAACAACGTTCACACAAGAACTACTTTAATTTGTTTTACCATGCTGCAAATGTTTTCACTCAGTCAGAGAGATAACAGTCTCCAGAATTTGATGTTTACTAGAGTTATCCAGATGACTGTCTGCTTCAAAATGTCTAAGGCCATGTCGTGCAGTTCGCATGAAAGCGCCATCATATCTTTTTCTAGCAGACTGTGAATACCAAACCGAATGAGATGACGCTAAATTAGGATAGGGCAAACTGATTTCGCAGCCAACGAAACGGAAGTTTGCGAATATACACTCGTTTGCAAACTAATTTGGTTTTTCGAGAGATTCACCTGGAACTTAGCTGAATCTCTCGTTTGTGATGTTTCCAGGCCGCCTCATGTTTCAGTCGCTACGATATTCGAGATGTCACGATACATGTATATACATGTAACGTATTACTCATAAGGTCGCTGAAGATCCGTCGACAGCCCACGGCCGGTTTCGCTCTTTTTGGGACTCATCAGGTAGGAACAGAAGTTTCGCTTCACAGCTTGAGGATGTGAAAGTGAAGTGTCCCCTACTAGCTAACTATTAGAATGATTCACAAAGTTACTGTCCTTGCCGCTGAGCCAACTCTGGAATGAGTACCAGTCAGTGAGGAAGTAGGTACTTGCAGAGATGGGTACTGTGGAATGTAGGCGAAGCGTTTGGCTACCAAAACCGTTCAGATGTAGCAACCTTTCGGTGCCTAACTGTCATCCCACCAGAAGGGAGCGCGAGGTCTGGGACACTGCCAGGTTGCGTAAGCCTAGTAGACATGGGAAATCAAGAGGCACAGGCCAGGTTGGAACCACGGACCTTCTGATTAGTAAATTCGCGCTCTGACCACTGAGCCATTGCGCCCCGGTGGCTACTAAAATTAAGGGACAGAACAGAAAGGATTACCTTGATGTTGAGCATAAAGAAAGGAAGTGGATTCGGCTCTGATTCTCAAAGTCTCCATCGCTGTGAACATATGGTTTTTTAACGGTCTGACGTCTTTAACCGGTCCTAGAACCATGTAATTTAGTCGTAGAACACCGCTGTATCAAGTGCTCAGGTCACGCGTTTTAGGCCACCTTGTCCTACACAATCGTGGACGTAATGCCCACATGACATTTGCAGGGTATCTGTTTTTTCGTTCCTCTTATCTCTGTTTCTGCTTAGCTTTGGGATAACTCTACTTAGGGAGAGTGAGTCTCGGTTACCTACACATATTGGGACTAACTCGCAGGAAATGGCTCTTGGGTGTCAGATGTACCTGACTAAAAATTGTACCTTAGTGCCTTTTGCACATCGATTGACTCATGTTTCTTTTTAAATTGTAGGTTTGCCGGTTAAGTCGTTCACATAAACCTAAAAAGGAGTGTTTAATATCCATTATGAATGCACCTAATAAGAGTATGGATTGTATACTGCATCTGTTGTTATCTTTCTTCTGATCCAATCTGTTAGACACACGACCCCAGCTTAAACCACGAGGCTGTTATTCATGAAAGCAATCGGTTCGCAGTGTTGACAGTCTTCAAATCACGCTCACTGTGGCTTACTTCTTCCAGACATACTGGTTTTCTAAAGGAGGTTGTCGAGTGAAGTAGAACCAAGTCAGCGTTTGTTGCACATTCGTGTGCGTTTGTCTCACCACACTTTTTGTAGTTGTCAGTGAGCAGCGTATCCGTATGCTGAAACACACCGACCATCAATGACTAGTTCTTTTTGGCATGATCATCCCCTACGAGGCTTAGCTTCTTTTTACGTTGCTCATTTGCCAAACGAGGTAGTTGTGCGAACATTTGGAAGTGAGCAAGATCATGCGACGTGAGGTGAAGTGCTTGGGTGTCCTCCTGATTTGTATCGCTGCATCAGCTTGGATTATTGGGAAACTGAGTTGGGACCTCGAGTTTGAGTATGGTACACTGGTGAGTCACATCGTAAAAAACAGGGCATTGCTTTGGACGAATTATTGCCTTTTTGTACGCCTGGTATGAACGGAAAGGCAGGTCCAAAGCTGAATCTAACCACCGACCTCTGACGTGTTGAGCGAGTACGCGACAAGCTGAGCTACCGACAACTACGTTTTGCGACATAATAATTCCACAGTCGAAGTTCACTCCTAATTTAAAACGCATTTAATTGAGAGACCGTTGACCAAAGTCTGTTAAGACCATTATTGACTCTTTTGCGAGAATTCGAACACTAGCTGGATATAAACTGATGAAAGGTAGAAAGGGACTTCGTGCATGTCAGTAAATCATAGTCTAACCAGAGATGATGCTCTTGAGGCTGGACTAGATTTATAAAACTTACGGTTGCTGGTGATCTCTCCATCATTCTAATAATCCAGAATGAGGTTCGGTCCCACTACCAGGTGTTCATTTTTACTTAATTCACATGTTATTGGACTTGTGGTTCCCGTAATAAAGTGTCTTCTTTCACGTTTATGGGTTTCGTTTCTGTCACATTCTGAAGATTACCCATGACAAACGCGGAAAGTTCATCATGCACTTTGTCATCGATCTGTCTCCAATCACATTGCTAAACAGTTTTCACAAAATAGCCTTTTTATTCAGTTGTTCCTTAACGGCTTCATCTAAATGACGTATACGTAGGTCATGCATAATGCCTATGAGTCGCTGACGGTCAAGACGACATCAAGACTAAACGGGGCGGACAGAAAATACAGAAAGAGAGAATTCCTCGGCTTGGTTTCGACGCCACCAAGATGGAATATGCGATATATATTTCGAACTAAACCATACAATATATGGGGCAGAGACGAAATATCACATTGTACAAGTATTTTTTCTACAAAATCCAAAATCATCTTGCAGTTTTGTACGCTCCTTTTGTCTGTTTACAGCAAGCGACGTAACCTGTCATCGGGACCAAGGCAAGTTCGCACTGCCACATGGGTTTGGGGCAAACAGGATAGCTCGGTATTACTGAGCAAACAGTACATTTTAATTGGTTAATTGGTTAATTCTCCAATCACCTGGGTTCACATGTATCGAGAGTTTGAAAAGTAAAACCATACTTAGCGAATATAAACTAATAAGCAAACTAACTAGGTTTTTCGAGAGACTCATCTGGAACCCAGCTGAATCTCTCGTTTATGATGTTCTCAGGCAACTGAATGAGCCGCACCAGGCTGCCTCATGTTTCAGTTGCTACGATATTCGAGATATCGCGATACATGTATATCTTTGTAATCTGCTACTCATAAGGTTGCTGAAAATCCATTGACAGCCCACGACCGGTTTCGCCTTTTTGGGGCTCATCAGGTAGGTCCGCAGTCCCCGGGTTTCCCTCAACCTTATGTTCTACTTGAAACCAAAGTGCACGAAATTAGCGAATATACTCTCATTTGCAAATTGATTTGGTTTTTCAAAAGACTCACCTGGAACCCAGCTGAATCCCTCGTTTTGGTGTTTTCAGAAATTTAGCCGGGTTCCAGGTGAGCCTCTCGAAAAACCAAACTAGATTGCAAATGAGTGTATATTCGCTAGATCGTGCTATGTTCTTGAGTTTTCCCCACACTGACACAATTTATTCAGCTTTTTTGTTGATTGGAACCCCTCGGCCAATCGGATTTAAGACCACTGACTTAACTGGCTCTCAGTCGATTTACAGAAAGTGAATTTCAGTGATTGTTTTGTTCAACTAAACGGATTTGATGACATCAGCAGTGTGGACTGAAAGGTCCCTCGTTTTGTTTCAGCTGTACTATAGTAGTACTGTAGTAGCTAAGCGCTGGGTTCCTGGCCCTTTCCCCTTCATAGATACATGACCGTTTACCCCCCTATGTGCGCCAAATAATTATGCGGATATTTCCTTCTAAATAAAAAAAATAAATATGCGCAAAGCAAACTTTCAAATGATTAGTTTTGCCAATTTTGAACAGAATTCCAACGACCTTCAGGTTCTATATATGCATGCTATCGTTTTTATCAAACGAGGTAAAACTCAGCACCTCTTTCGTTAATCATAGATTCTAAATGTACCCCGTGAACAACAAAAGCCGGGAAATGAACGCATTATCTTGGATATATCCGGGGCGCCCCAAGTAGACAGAAAATTTGTCTTCAGGCATGATTTAGCGTAGGATCTCTGCAAAAAGAACTAGTCGATTGACCAGGCTAAATACGAACTTCCTCTGTTGTTTTCCAACTTTTCCGATCGCTGTAACGAAAACAAATAGCGATGGCCGATGAGTATGTGCGGTGGATGCCTTCCCATGACCATCGGGATGAAAGTCATGTAGTGTCAGTCCTCGATATTCGGGTTCGAAAATGCAGGATATGTTGATTAGCTGTGCACAAGTTCACAATGTACAAAGGCCATTCGAATATGATAAATGAGATTCATCCAGCTTATGCCACTGAAGTGGAGAAAGCACTTTCGTCTCGTATGTCATAGGCTAACTATGTGTACTACCAGTGGGGTAGTACTTCATCAGCAAGATGGGATATCTAGCACGCTTTAATTATTGATCACAAAAAATATAACTCATTCGATGAAATCTGGAAAACCGTGTCCCAACAACGGTTATTCGTTATCAAGCAGTCACATTTTGTGGTGAAAATTCCGTTGTCATGACGATCCCGGCGGCATGGAGGTTGGTATTTCCAATGGTGCTAGAAGCCATGATATCTTGTGCAAAATAAAGAAAGCCGGCTTGAAGAAACTACTAGCTAAAACAGTTTCGACAGCCCACGACCGGTTTTGATCTATTTAGGGCTCACCAAGCAAATGGAAACTCCGAAAACACACCTATTCGATGACCTCCAGGATGGGTAAAAACGGATGTGGTTTATCAACAAATTCTCAAAAGCCTTGTAAATACAGTTCGTTTAAGGAACTATATCGCGATATCTCGATATTCGTGCCAAATGAAATATGAGATGACCTCTGTGTAGCACATTCGATCGAAGAGCATTACCACAAACTATAGATTTGGTTGAGGCTCATTGAAGGCAGATTGATTTTCAGATGAGGACATTCCGCGAAGTTCAGTTAACTCCAGTTTGTCAGCTGTAAACTCTGTATTAAGGATTCTGTGGTTCCAGCTGTTACGGATTTGGGTGAGGAAAACTGGAAGGGCTTGGGAAGATGACGGTATGATCAGTTAGTTCAGGAAACGGGGCAATAGATTTGGTGCACAAGCTCCACTGACTGCGTAATTCAGCCACTATTAAGGAAAACTGGAAGGGCTTGGGAAGATGACAGTATGATCAGTTAAGTCCCCTGATCCCCATCCAAGGAAGCGACAGTTGTCGACCCGAATGATTTTACTGGCCAGTCTCTTCATACCTCATTGTCAGGTCATACACTGTCCACTTCTTGGTCACTTCCAATCAGCACAGGGATGGATGAAAAAACTCTGTGAGGCAGAACGTCCTTTGGCATGAGAAGCACGTGTCCTACCCGGCGAAACTTGTGCAGCGTGAGTAACTCATTCATCTGGGGAAAGTCCACTTTTCCTCAAACAGTCTAGAGTACGCAGTGCTGCTAACCCGATATTCCTAGCAGACCCGACCAATGCTTCAAAAGCACAGAGTCACACACTGACATCTTTTGTACATCCTCTGTGCACAAAGATCACGTTTCTAATCCATAAAGAAGTATGGGTTTCACCGTCATAGTGTGTACTCAACCAATGACAGACAAACTGACGTGCGCCATTGGTGCCGGAGGTTGACAAAAGCTGTCCTGGCCTTCCCCATTGATGGAGTAATCTAGTCTACGGGAAGCCCACCAGAATTCATACAAATTCCCATGGAAGATGACCGATTGATTAACTTTTACAAACAATTAGCTTTCAGCGTACACGTGTTGACGTTTCAAGTCTAAGTTTTTGCCCCACTTTTGAATGGACACTGGAACATATCGTCATTTACTCTACTAGTTTTTGAAACAACATTCGCAAGACTTACTAAAATCTCCCGGAGAATTCCGCTCAAGGGAATCGGATCACTTCAAATGTAAGCATCGAAAGGTGGTGTTATCACACTCGTATACGCAAACATTTCGAGGCGTTTTTCATTTTGTAATTGTTTTCAAACTAACTTAAACTGGTGAACCTCTGAACCTCGACAAGTAGTTGGAATCACTGACAAGCGACGGTTTTTTCGCAATGAGTCAATACATTTCGTCACTCGATCACACTCTTAAAGATCAGACGAATGTTGATTTTCGATTTTTACGGAGTTGTGTAACTGGTAATGTAGGACGCTGTTACCTGATACCCCATTTTCCTGTATGCTGGTGTTTAGTACCGACAATTCGAATGACATGGCATGTGTGGTTGTGAGTGTGAACAAAACGTGAAGCTGAAGATACCAGCTGGTGTCCATACCCAGATAAGGTGACAATGGTGACTTTTTTCGACTTTCCGAGGATCTCGCCAACAGCGCACCTCAATTCTGACTAAGATTCATAATCAGCTGGATTGACTTGATTCGGTCCAGCTTGGCCTGACATGTATGCTCAGCACGGTAACAATCAGTCATGTTTGGACGAGTAAGATAACAGTCCACACTGGCAACAAATGCATGCATTAGGTTCTCTAAAGGACAATGCACACGAAGTTGCTGAAAACTGTTTGACAGCCCACGTTCGGTTTGGTGTTTCTTGGGGATCTGCAGGTAGGTGCATTCTCCGAAAGTCCCAAAGCTCTGCTTTTTACTTTAGCCCACAGAAAACTGTTTGACAGCCCACGTTCGGTTTCGTGTTTCTTGGGGGTCTTCAGGTACGCGCAGTCTCCGAAATTCCCAAACCTCTACTTTCTACTTTAGCCCAGTTTGTATGAAATTCGCGTATTGCACTCATTTGCACACCAGTCTGGTTTTACCGCGGGACTCAAATGAATCTATCGGCTGAATGTGCTGCACAGAGGTCGCCTCATGTCTTAGGTGGTACCATGTTCGAAATATTTCAGTACATTTTCTTGGCAGAACACTACTCACATGGTTGCTAAAGAACCTTCCGCAGCTCGTGACTGGTTTCGTCCTTCTCAGTCCTACATGGGGCATTCTTCCGCCAAAGATGTCCCCTTTCAAGCAGTTCCTCAAAACAAATATTAGGATCCACAGAAACCATTCTGTGGTCTACGGATTCGGCTCCACAGTCAAACAGCTGTTTTTGTTACCGTAATCTGCCAACATAATAAACAAGACCAGCCTACGTTAATTTTGAAGCGAACGAAGATTTTCCATGTGTTTGCAAGATAACTTGCAGACGTACAACTTAGAAGGGGTCTCTTATAATCCGGCGGCCAGATTTCGATCGTTGCCTAAGCTTGCTGTCCAGAGAAGTTCAATTTTAACTGTCAACCCTTACAGGAAGTGTCTCTTGTATGGTTTTCTCTGACCAGAAACCCAAACCAGATTTTCCTGTTATATTGCAGTTTATTGTGGACTAATGTGAGAAAACAAATCGGCAGTTTGTTAGTTAAGAGAACTTATACAAGAGCTTTATAACTTTCTGGGTCAAGGTTCCTGTGATCATGGGTCTGAATAAACACTGTATGGTTTGAATACTATCTCCACCATTTCCATCTGTGTTTTGTTTATTCTCTAGTACAACTTCGAAATCGATCCCAAAGTAGAACCTTTGGCCGATGGGGCAGCGACCAATACTATTCATCTATTCTTGGTCATACCGGATTTCAAGACTCTGGAGAAGACCGGAACAATGCTCAAAAGTCTGCTGTACTATCAAGGTCGTTTGGACGAGACATTTGTTGAGTGTACACCAACAATCAACAAACCGGAGTCGATAAAGTGTTCGGACTTGGATCTGTTACCGACGGCGAGTTCACTGACACTGCATGTTGCGGCAAGCGACAGTCTAGGGGACCAAACAGCAGAACTGTTTGGGGATTTTCACGTGGAAGACTTGACTGTGCAGTTGTACAGCTTAGAAAGCTGTCTGGTCAGTTGTTTCGGTGTGCTGCGATGGTTTCCTACCAATTACTCAGTAGTATTAAAATGTCCAACCTCATGATCACAACTTGATCTACCAGTCCTTTCACATTCTTCAGATGAAAAATGATTCAAGGAGCCTAGAAGCTGTAAAACATAACTGAGTGGGTAGATCCTGGTATAAACAGCTCTGTACTCATTTGAGTAGTCTCGCTGCTATATGACAGTCAAGTTGTTGTAACCAATCAGTCAAAGGAACCCGCGGATCATTTGTTAACTGGTTGTCAAAAATGGATTCTAGCACACTCTCGGGGTACGCCTAAAAGCACACACCTACACATGTTGGTTCCATCTGACTGCCTACTGATCTCAGGAGCACATCAATCAGAAAACTTGATAGCGGAAAAATATAATGCCGCACTTGATCCCTATTCATGTGTTTGTTGAAATCCTTCAGAAAGTTGGTCCACGGCAAACGGGAAGTGGGTTGAGTATAACATAGTGTTGAACTGTTTCCATATGGTTCACATCTCTTGTATAATTCAGTGGTACCGGTATCCCAAATTACATAGCGAAAACTCGCTTCCTATCAGGTGTATATAAACCACCAATCCTTATAAAAAATCCCTTAGGGCAATCTAAAAAAGTGTTGGAATGAAAACAGTGTTTTCGGGATAGATACAAACAGGCACAAGTAGTCTGGCTGGCACGTATGAATTCATCCACAGTGATCACGTCCCGGAAAATCTGGGCTGTATCAGATGCAACTTTCTATATTGTTAAAGTAGATTGTCAACCACACCCCTTATAATGTTATCAGTCGACTTCATCGCCAATTTGATGGTTTTCACAATCAAACTTGGGAATATTTTTCCTACTCGGAGGTTTATCATAATGAGCGGTCCCTAAAGATTGTTTCTTTTGGACAACATTCGTCTTTGTGGAAGTTTCGTTGGACTGAGTAGATATCTGGGACTCTGCGACTTTGTGTCAGTTTCAACGGTCGATTTAAGGTCTATCGGAATGAGTGCGCGTCTTTTTGTATCTTCGTACACGATATTATGAAGGCGGACGTTGGCTGGTGATTTGCGGTGATGACTGGTTTTTCTCAGGGAGCTAACCTCATTTTGACAACAGAAGTGCAGTCTGAAGCTTCCTCGGTACTCTTTTCAAGTGTTTTGGTCCTGGTGACCATGAAAGGTGAGGATGAAAGGAAGTTGTAGGCACCGAGTGTTGAAACTCCTACCGGGACTGGATACGTGGTAGGATGATGACTTTTCATGTATTTGGTGCACACTACAATAGGCGGAACTACCATTCGCTTTCGACAAATGCATTCATTTGAGTAATAATTTAGTT